ATTTTTCACATTGAACAATTAATATTTGCAATGATCTATGATATTTAAAAAGTTTGGGCCAAACCAATTCTCAGGACTGAAACAGTGAACTGTCCAAGGTTTCTTTAGCACTCTGTTCTATGAAGAGCTGTTACTTAACATTTCTTTTGTAGCTGCTCTCCTGCCTTTCCTCCCAAGAGAGTATAACTTGGTTTTGACATCCACTTGAAATAAACTCTATAGTCCTGGAATACTGAGGTTTGTTTGCATGTTTGTGGGGAAATACCTGCTAAGTACAGCAATGTTCTGTCATTAAGTTGGAGACCGCAATCAATTACTCTGGGTCATCCAAGACCATGAAATGCTTCTGAATTGAGCCATTCCCTGGCCCACTAACCCAGGACTCCTTGTGTCACTAACCACAGGTTTGATTATTTTGTTCTTCCTCAGCCACTGTTAGTAGCTACTAATCTATAATCTCTGTCAATCTTACAGATACACACTCAGAAAGTTTTTATAGCTCTGCCGCAGTCAAATTTCAGCTACAGCCTATATCTGCTATTAGAACAACCTGAGCTGCCATGTAGCCCACATCCTGATCTTATCCAGAGTTGGGTTAAAAACTGACCTGGACCCTGAGTGTGTCTCGTAATAACCAAACTCCTCCCAACCTAAGTTTGCAGTTCTCTGTACAGTAAGCCAGTGTTAAAATAAGGGATTCAGATCAGTACATTTATTATTTAAAAGAGGAAGAAACATGCCAGCAAGGAATAAAATCATATTTTAAAGCAACTCCTTTCTCCCCATAAAAATTATATATATATATTTTTTTTCTTTTTTTTTTGTGGTACACAGGCCTCTGACCGTTGTGGCCTCTCCCGTTGCAGAGCACAGGCTCCGGACATGCAGGCTCAGCGGCCATGGCTCACAGGCCTAGCTGCTCCGCCGCACGTGGCATCTTCCCGAACCAGGGCACAAACCCGTGTCCCCTGCATCGGCAGGCGGACTCTCAACCACTGAGCCACCAGGGAAGCCCTATATATATTATATTTTAATCTTTTTAATTCAAGTCAATAATCAGAAATCTCTGGCAGTCTGCATTCCCCAAGGTACCCCACATCCCATCACGTCATTCATATATTCTTTGCTGAAGATGTGTTCTTTTGCAGCTACTCTAAAAGTCAACTTATTAGCTTTTTTTTTTTTTCTTGTCCACATCACTGCATGGCTCGCGGGATCTTAGTTCCCTGACCAGGGATTGAACCCGGGGCAATGGCAGTGAAAAATGCCGAGTCCTAACCACTGGACCACCAGGGAAGTCCCAACTTATTGGTTTTATTTAATTTTATTTTATAAAATTGGATTATGGTTCTCATGGAAACATGTAATTAAATCTCTGCTGCTGCTCAAGAGAGGTTCATTGTTTAAATAAAAATTGTTACTACATTTTGCAATGACAATTTAAAAACAAAGTTTCTTTTGACACACCACAACTTTTGGTAGAAATTGTGGAGAAATCAGTCAGTACAAAAAGGACTGTGATCTGACTCTTTTTGTATTTAAGAAATCTTTTTCTTTCTGCTAGATTTAATTAATTTTAGCTAAGAGCACTAAGAATTCATTTACCAAACTAAACTTGTAAACTTCTTTAGAAATATAATTTAAATTCTTCAGTAAACATGCTTGTATAATCCATTATTCATATTTTCTGCCAAATGATATGACCTTACACTTAATGAGCATTATTGACAAATAGCTTAATTATTTTTTTAAATATAAAATATTTTATTAAGGTTAAAAGGTCTAATATCTCTGAAGGAATCATAAGAACTTGAAAGTAGATATCTGAAAAATAGTAACCATCCCTGAAGTTTCAAGTATCACTGCCATACCACCTGCTCCATCTTAATATGTGAGGTTCACATGGGTTAAATGCTAGAAGTCCATAAAGTTGTAAGATAAAGGTCTTGGATACATAAGTATGTTAAGCAACTAGTAAAGAAAATCTTTATATTTTTAATAACTTAAGACAAAAAAAGAATGATCTCAAAAGAAAACTATGCCCATCTTTCTTTTATTAATATGGAAATAATAATTACTTAGTAAATCTCTTTTTTTATTCCATGATTGTGACTGAAATAGATCCGGTAGAAAAAAAAATTGGCATTATTCTTATTGAGTATCTCTTACATTGCAAAGAGAACCTTAGATTTGAAGATGAAAATATGGTATCACTCCTTATAGAATGTTCACACTGTACTTGGTACAATACCAGGGACTTACTATCTTAAGAAATACAGACAGAGCCATTTGCATATAACAAGAAAGCCAGGTCTTTGGTTAAATGTCAGTTTCAGAGGTACAGGCTTTCAAGCATTTTTTAGGTTTTTTTCCCCTTTTTTCCTCCTATACCTTCCTCTTTTTTCCTCCTCTTCCTTGGGTTTCTGTTCGCTAGGTATTTTCACGGAAAGGGTAAATGAAAAACGTGCATTTTGAGGACAAAGGAGTAAAGAAATGGACAGTTTCAAGTGCAAAGGGCTGCTTCAGGAACTAGAGAATATAAGAGAGAAAAATCTCACCATGACATAAGAGACTTAGAAAGGAACACAGCTGAGAGAAGGAACCAATTTCTACAACTGTTACTGTGTTCTCTAATACTGGAAACTGAAATAAATGGTGGGTCTTATGTGGTTTTCTTTGACACCACTGGGACTGCAGAGGAAGAGGCAGCTGTTAAAAACTGGCTTCACACCCCTCTGCCTCTATTCCACTTTGAGTTACATTAACTAATCCTGCAGATGTTGACTGAAACCGGCAGAAAAAACACCCTCAGGGTCAATTTGACATCCCATTTGGCTCTAAAATATTATAATTTAGGGACCCAGAAAAGTTAAGGTCAAATGATTGTAATTACTTAACTTGTATTAGAATAATCATGAAAGCATACCCTGCATGGATTCCACTTTACCTTTGTTTTCATCAGTTTCATAATGGGATAACTTTGAATGAAGCAAATGTTGATCATCTTTTCATGATATGGAGCATAAAAGGAGAGCTAGACTAGTTAGAAAACATTGAGTCCTGCATGCATTATCCTAATAACATCTCACAAGTTTTCAGGTAGGAACTATTATAATCCCCTTTTTACAAAAGAGGTTAAATAACATGGCCAAGGTCACACAATTAGTGAGTGGCAGGTCGGAATTTGGACCCACTCATCTAACTCCAGAGCCAGCACCATGACTCCCTACATGACTTACACTAATACATAAACTTATCCTAAGGATGAGCTGGAGCTGAGCAGATAGACTTGGGAAGGTGGGTTACCAAAGTCTTCCACAAAGTGTGGCATATACATCATTGGTGGTGTTCAAGATGAATTTTTGGTGATATGTAGATAGGCCTTTAAAAATTTTAATGGTAATGTATTTATTAAGATGTGTGGAGAATTAATATGATCAACTTATTAACCCATTATTTCATGGATTTTTTTGTTGTTGTTTAGAATGAGGCTAAATTTTAAACAGTGAACTGTTTAATGTGTATGCAAAGAAAAAAATCATAGGAAACTAATAGTAGAGATGGGAAGTTAATGAAGGAAAAGGCACAAACAGAAGAAATGAAATTTGGGAACCATGGAATTAAAGCACTCCATGCTGAAGAAATCACTAACACAAAGTCATAGGGACTTGAAAGCAAACAGTAAGTATAGAGAAGAGCAAATATGTCATTATGACTAGATTATAGGGTGGATAGAAATTAGACCTGAGAGGTTAGCATGTTAAGAACCTTAGAATTTAAAAAAAAGAAATTGAGAGTCATCAATAGATTTGACATGGTCAGATATACAGGTAAATAAAAAACACTAGAGAAAAATCCTGGAGACAGAGGCCATGATAGCATACCCATATGATGGCTACTACCAAAAATCCAGGAAATAATAATTATTAGCAAGTATGTGGAGAAATTGTAACCCTTTGGCACTATTGGTAGGAATGTAAATTGGTGCAGCTCCTATGTAAAACTGTGTGGTGATTCCTCAAAATTTTACAAATAAAATTACCATATAATCCAGTAATTCTACTTTGGGGTATAGACCCAAAAGAAGAGAAAGTAGGTACTCAATGAGATATTTGTAAAGTCATGTTCATAACAGCATTACTTGTGATAACCAAAAGGTGGAAGCAATTAAAGTATCTATCAACAGATGAATGGATAAACAAAATGTGATATATATATATATATATATATATATATATATATATTATTCAGCCTTAAAAAGAAAGGAACTTCTGAAACATGCTATAATATGGATGAACCTTGAGAATATTATACTAAGTGAAATACATCAGACACAAAGAACAAATACTATATGATTCCACTTTTATCAAGTACATAGAGTAGTCAAATTTACAGAGACAGAAAGTAGAATGATGGTCACCAGGGCTGGGAAAGGAAGAAATGGAGAAGTTATTGTCTAGTGGGTACAGAGTTTCAGTCTTGCAAGATGAAAAGTGTTCTGTGGATGGATGGTAGTGATGGTAGCACAACCGTGTGAATATATTGGATGCCATTGAACTGTACACTTAAAAATGGTTAAGATGGTAAATCTTATGTGTATTTTAACAATGAAAAAAAAGAAACCATTATAATAATCCACACAAAAAAAACACTGAATCCTTAGCTAAAACTTTAACCAAGTAAAGGGCAAGAAGCAATAACTGATGGAGTTACTGATTCCTAGTCATGGAAGGGGCTGGATAACCAGCAGAGCACAACTAACTCAACCATTCACCAGGTTGGGTCACTTCAGATGTTTTCAGCACATGATTTATTCATGGAACTTCTGAATTTATTTAAATAACAAATTATTGAATACTAACTGTGTACTAGGCTGTATACATCCTAGGGACAAAGTAGTGAAAAAAAAAGACACTGTTCGTCTCATTTTCCAGAACGGATAGGGAAAGGTGATGGGTCTTTCTACAACTCATAGGTTTGAGCCCTTTGATCATTCTTACCTTGTGAGTCCACATAGCACCTTCCATCCACAGCCTGTTTTCTTAGTCAATGTTTGCCACACTTGGGGCATGCCAACTTCTTATTTTGATAAGGAAAGTTCTTTTCAATTACTGTCAATTCAGAAAAGAAAGAAAATTCTAAGATACAAACAATAGCCTAACGCTAGATATAATCTTAAAATAAAGATCAATCAATAAATGCTGCAGAGGGTGTGGAAGAAAGGGAACCCTCCTACACTGTTGGTGGGAATGTAAATTGATACAGCCACTATGGAGAACAGTATGGAGGTTCCTTAAAAAACTGATAATGGAACTATCATATGACGCAGCAATCCCACTCCTAGGCATATACCTGGAGAAAACCATAATTCGAAAAGATATACGCACCCCAATGTTCACTGCAGCACTATTTACAATAACCAGGACATGGAAGCAACCTAAATGTTCATCAGCAGAGGAATGGATAAAGAAGAGGTGGTACATATATACAATGGAATATTACTCAGCCATAAAAAAGAACAAAATAATGCCATTTGCAACAACATGGATGGACCTGGAGATTGTCATACTGAGTGAAGTAAGTCAGACACAGAAAGACAAATATCATATGATACTGCTTACATGTGGAATCTAAAAAAAGGGTACAAATGAACTTACAAAACAGAAGCAGAGTCACAGATGTAGAAAACAAACATATGGTTACCAGGGGATAAGGGGGGTGGGGGAGAGAGATAAATTGGGAGATTGGGATTGACACATACACACTACTATATATAAAATAGATAACTAATAAAGACCTATTGTATAGCACAGGGAACTCTACTCAATACACTGTAATGGCCTCTATGGGAAAAGAATCTTTAAAAAGTGGTTTATGTATATGTATAACTGATTCACTTTGCTGTACACATGAAACTAACACAACATTGTAAATCAACTATACACCAATAAAAATTTAAAAAGAAAGATCAATCCAATAAATACATTTAGTTTTAACTCACTACCTGGACCTTATTTTTTCTCTTTTTTGCCATGAAACAATAAAAGTATCTTCAAGGGTATTTACTGTCCTGTGGACATTCCTCTGGATCAGCATTTAGAAACCACTGGACTAGGGTTCAGCCGATTCCTCAAAAGCTTGGTCCAGGTTACCTCTACCTTCTTCCGAGTAACTAATGGCTTCAGGGGATCCTACTTTGGCTGTCTTTGAACATTAATACCTATAAATAATAGATACAAATAATAATACCTATAAAATACACAAAGGCTTCTGCCAAGCCTCTAACAGTCCTTCCAGCCATTAAATGATTAATTCAATTCAAACTCATTGACAAACTCTGATTGAATAACCTCCATGTACCAGGTAACAGGCGAAGTACTAGAGATGAAAAGTTCTTCACTATAGGATGGACATCTCACCTATTACCCAAACAGGGACACTTCAGAGAGTGAAAGGGGGCTCTTTTAATACTTATGCCAGGAAAATTGACCCAAGAAATTTAAGACACATACTCACCCTGCTTAAGGAGATCACAAATTGGTAAGTAGCATGATCAAACTGTTATGAAAACTCAAATGAAAAAGCAATTAATTTGGGGGATGGGGAGGCTAAAGGATGGTGATCAGGAGACACTTCCAAAGAAAGTAAGGTTTTAATTAAATCTCAAAGAACTACTAGGATTTCACCCCAGGAAGAAAATGAGAAATACACTTCAAGCAAAGGAACAGCAGAAAGCTCATTAAAATACTGGTTGCAGGGACTTCCCTGGTGGCGCAGTGGTTAAGAGTCCGCCTGCCAATGCAGGGGACATGGGTTCGATCCCTGGTCCGGGAAGATCCCACATGCCGTGGAGCAACTAGGCCCGTGCTCCACAACTACTGAGCCTGCGCTCTAGAGCCTTCGAGCCACAACTACTGAGCCCTTGTGCCACGGCTGCTGAAGCCCGTGCGCCTGGAGCCTGTGCTCTGTGACAGGAGAGGCCACCGCAGTGAGAGGCCCTCACACCGCAGCAAAGAGTGGCCCCTGCAGCTAGAGGAAGCCCGCGCGCAGCAACAAAAGACCCAACGGAGCCAAAAATAAATAAATAAATAAATAAAATACTGGTTGCAATTCTAATATTACCAATTACAGTAGAAAATATTAAGGGTTTCTAAAATAAGCATTTGTCATAATTCTTTACCTTTGTGGAGCTTATAATTTTTTAAAAATGATAAAATATTTATTTTTTAAAGACAAAATAATGGACAAGGCTTTCCCCTGACTATACAATACATACATAAGATTCAGATATTTTAAAAAACTGCCAGGAAAAAAAAAAAAAAAAGGAAAGAGAGAGAGAAAGAGAAAAAAAAAAAAAGGAGGGAGGGAATAAAGGGAAGGAGGGAGGGAGAAAGAAAGGAAATTTAACAGTATAATTCAATGGGGTTCTTAATTTCCAACATGACAGTTTTCTGGATTCAAGATAGATTTCAAGGATGGATGTATAGAACTATATATGTTACATTTTGTTACAGATTCAAGGACCATATTTTCAGTTCTACATATTAACCAGGGCTGTGTTCCAAAGCGTGTTTCATTAGCTACCCACCTCAGAACTACTTGAGTGCTTACTAAAGTGCAGATTTCCAAGCCCAGTTTCAAAGTCCTGGAAATCTGCATTTTTAACAAGTTTAAGGATAATTTTGCCTCCAGACTCCTGCCATTTAGAAACATATGAGGTTTGAAATAAGTCCCCCAATTCACTTGGAGCTACCTCAACAACTTGAAGTAAAATGGCAGGATCATCTCAAAAGGAACTAAGGAAATGCTGTATCAGAGGAAACAACCAGAGAAGACATATATAAAATGTATTCATTTTGCCAGAATAGTTAGTCTCCTGCCAGTTGAGAGAGTGTAAGTATAGCTGGCCTGACTTATTTTGCTGTAATTTAATCCAATTATCTAAAGCTCTAAATGTGTGTGTGTGTGGGGGGGGGAAACTCACGTGAATAACTGGCTCTGTCTCACAGTTATTAAGCAGGTTAGGATGTGTCAATCATTCCATGCCCTGAGAAGCTGATGAAGGCACAATTTCAAATGTCATGCTTTTGCTTGCAATGAGCCACACAAAGGTTAGTGAATTTTAAACATATTTGTATGCTTAATAAATACAGATTCTTCTGCACACATTCCATAGAAGCCCAAGTACATTTTGCTTATTTCTGTGTTATGTTTACAGAATCATCGAACATGACTCAAATCACAGAACACCATAAAAAATGAGATTTTTTTTGTATGAAAGGTGGCCCGTAGAAGTAAACATTTGACCAAAAGCTAAGCAGATTTAACCAAGACTGTCCACCAAAAATACACAAAATTCAATCCTCAGTAAGAGAGGGAAAGTAGTTTCTTTTTTTAGAGCACATAGCTAATAAAATTTGTTTTCATTGGGAAAATAAGGTTGTTAATCACCCACTGTTATAATCACTCCAACACTTGCATCTCTCTCCTTGCTCTCAGTGCAAATTCACCTTTCACTGAGCAATTAGAAACAATCCTAAAAGAATGCCCACAAGCTCTGACCACAGCACAAGCACATCTGTGCTTATCAGTCCTGGCTGCTCTCTAATATGGATGTGTATCCATTCCTCTCACAGGGCCAAGCCCTCCACTCTTATCATCCTCTTATCTTCTCAACAGCAATCACTCCAATGACTATTTCCCTTACATTCTCAATGGTTTTTCCTCTCTACTAGATTATAAAAATCTACAATATTGCACATCAAAGAAAAGGAAGGAAAGAAGGAAGGAAGGGAATGAGGGAAGGAAGGAGGAGAGGGGAAGCGAGGGAAGGGAACAAGAGAGCAGTAAAAAAAACCCTCGCATTCCCCTCTCATACTTCTCTTGTTACTGAGACATCAGGCTTACCTTATCAGGACTAAATCTCCTTTAGGCTGGGCTCCCAGAAAAGAATTCGGTGTCCTATAGCCCTCCTATGGAAACTGGGGAGCTAGTACTTATTATATTCAATCCTGATCAACCAGAAACTTGAACCTCAGCCCTCTGAGCAGTTGAGGCAGGGGTTGAAGGAACTGGGCTGAAATGAAAATATCACGGCAGCCCTACTCACATCAAGAGAGGAGCTGGTACAGCTTTAAAGCCCTACAGCCTAATGTCAAAGTTCCTCTCCTGGAGTCTGACACTCAGCCGTGCTAGATATGTGTGTACTGCCCTAAATGCAATGGGCAGTGTGGGTTCATGTCCTGATACTGGTCCTGCCCCTAGGAGTTCTCCCCCAATAAACACTGCTCCAGCAAGCCTGGCACGTATGCTGTCTGGCCATCTGTTCAACATGGCTGGGACAACACTACCATTCTCCTGTTTAGAGCAAATTCCTCAATAGTTACCCATACTGTTGCTTCTGTTTTTTATCTTCTTATTCTCTTTTGGACCCTCTCCAGAAAGCCTTTTCTATTCTTCTGAACAACTCACAAGATGGTCAACAATGACGCCCAGTTGCCAACTTCTGTCCTTATTTAATAGACCTATCAATGGCTTTTGATTCCACTCACCCCTCCCTCCTCCCTGAAGCAGTTACTTCACTTGGCCCCTGAAAGACCACTCTTTAGGTTCCCTTGTACCTCACTATCTCACTCCTCCTCAGCATTCACCGCAGATTCCTCCAACCTCTAACTCTGGAAACACCCCAGGCCGCAGCTCTCAGAACTTCTCTATCTAAATTACTCCCTAAATGATCTCTTCCAGCTTCCTGTCTATAATGGTATCAAATACCAATTTCATGTTGACAACTCCCAAATCTACATGTCCAGCTATGACCTTTTTTCTTGGAACTAAATACTAATCTCTAATGTCCAAACTGGATTTATCCTAAAACAAACTGCCAAGTTCCCTACCAAACTCTCTTTTCTGCAGCCTTACCCTTCTGAGTTGCTCAGGCCAAAACCCTTGAAAACATCTTTACTTGCTTTATTTCATACCCAACATCCAATACATCAGGATATTCTGTCACCCCTGTCTCTAAAACATGGCAAAAATCGAATCACTTTCCACATGCTCTATTGCTATTACCCTGATCCAAACCATCATTGCCCATTGCCTGGATATGACCTAG